GTTTTGAGTCTCCGTCCATTTCTGGGATAAGCATTCTGTTTCCAAACACTTGAAGATGAGTAAAGCAAAAGTTAAGGAGAGAACCTGGCTGGCAACTGTGGGGTCTCAATAGAAAATCGTAAATGAATCGTCTTGGAGCTGGGATGGCTTCTCGCAAAAGAAGGAGGTCCACAACCCAACGCTTTCATTTGCCCTGGCAGTTGAAAGTTCATATCCCTAATTAGGAGTTCTGCCTCTGTGACGTGACGAACCCTCTGGCAGACAACCCATTTTGTTGATGCCTGCTGGCCCACTGACTGGAGGTCCCTATCAGTTGTGACGTGAATCTTGGGCACTTTGGGGTTTTGTTTTAGCCTGGCTCAGACTGGGTTTTGGGGAAGGGCAGTCCTGGGGGGGAGAGAGGGAGTCAGGAGGAGGATAAAAATGGGAGCAGGGCTGTGACCTGCCGGAGAGGAGCCCCTGCTGACACGGTCAGTCTGACCCATTGAATGGCCTGAATACGGTAAATGCCGCTTTATCCTGCCTTGAAAGGCACGAGATAGCACAGTCTAAATGCCTGGGCATGCTCAAATAGGCGACTCGGGATGTTTGAGTCGAGCGTGTTTGAAATCTGAGCTCTCTGACAGCCTGGGAGCTGCCACAGGTCACCTGCCTTGCTCCGCAGGGACAGACCAGGTCTCACAAGAAATTGTCCGTAGACGAATTGTAGTACAAATTCCTTTCTTTGTTGGTTGGCCTCTTTCACTAGACCATGGCCTATAAAATTTTGTAAAAACAATTCTTAAATATTATTTGAAAGGGCAAATGGCCCACGCTGAAAGGTTTGACAGTTTGACATATAGTGCATGGTTTTGATAGCTCGGAAACTGAAAAGTGTGGCCAAGATTCTCTCCCTGCTTGTTAGAAGCCTGGTGTTTTTTACATAGTGTCTTGTTGCTGCACAGACTTCCTCTGCTCCCAGCAATCTGACAGGCGATGAGTCTGCTTCAGTGATCTTAAATCCTTTTAGACTAATTTGTGAGAGAGCAGAAAAATGGCTAGCACCTTTGAATCCAGCGTCCAAAAAGCACAGAACCAGGTATTGCCAATTAAGGAGCCATTCGGATAATCATATCAAAGCAGATTGCTTTGGAGTCCTCTCATAAGGCCTGAGCTGGTGCCGAGGGAGAGAGAGAGAGAGTGAGAGAGAGAGGAGAGAGAGGAGAGAGAGGAGAGAGAGAGAGAAGAGAGAGAGAGAGGAGCCCAGAGTTTCACTTGAGTGAGGGAGAAAAAAGGGATTTGAGTGGCCCGGTCTCATCAGAGCCGGGAAGTCACAAGGAAGTGGATTTCTGCATTAGAATGTTGCATATGTGCAGGCAGTGTGTGCCTCTGAGCCCATCGGCTGCCACTGCATAGCCAAAGGCCATTTTCGGGAGCCTCTGGCCCCTCAGTCACTGGCCTGCTAGTTAATTGCCACACGGACTTCATGACACATGGGCAGATAATATGACATTTTCGGTTTCTGTCACTAGCAAACGCCACAACGTTGCTTGCACTAGTTGCTAAGAAGCTGTCAGAAACCATTAGCAATTGGCTAAAGTCGCCCTATGGCATTTCCTCATAGCATCAGCAAAACGAGCATAAATCACCCACTGGAGCCTACTGCTATCCTAATGAGGCTGTAAGCTTGTTTATGGACTAGCATCATTTTTATGATTATTTCCACCTTTTCAGTTTGCCTTCATTTGGCGGCAGGAGAAGTCAGCTCCAGGAATGAAGTCACTGCTGACATTTTACAAATGTGGTTCAGAGCCGCTGCCTGCTGCCATGTGGTCGGCCGGCGGTTCTCCAAGTTTGTTTAGTGATCTTAAAAATAAAAAAAGGAAATAAATCCTCCAGGGACCGCATAGAGGTGACTGTATCAAATTGCAGAGTGAATGGGAATGCTAAAGGTACAATCGACCATTTAGACTTTCCTCTGAGGTTGAGACGTTTCGAGATCAATTTTCAATTCTAGAAAGTGGAAGAGGTTAAACAATTTATTAAAATCTATGAACGTGTTTGCTTTTAGAATAGTCTGTTTTATTATGCTCCTCTCCTTCCCCATCTTCTCCATTTCCCTAACTTGTGTCGGGAAGGAGCAGGGTTTATTGTTTTAGGCTTTTCTGAACATGCACCAGTATTTACACTGGATTGAAAGCATTTGCTTCCAATGAAAATCTTGTCTTAGATTACAACCCAGCAGTGTAATTTCCCTCCCAGATGGGAGCAAAGTAGCTGTATTTGCCTAAAAACAGTAGGAAGAACAAACTGTGCATTAAGCCAAGGCTGTTTTTGGCTTGAGCTAATGATGTAATAGAAACCTTTTATTCAGGAGAGGTCACTGCCAGGGACTGAAGGGGGTGATCTGGCTCCTGCTTGAAAGGTTTCTCCATTGTATCTACATAAGTCTTCACTTAAAAAATTCTGTTCCTAATGCTTCTGCTTTCATACAGCAGAAATAAACAGGAAAGGTTCTGGTGAGTGTTACACATGGAATGCAGAAAGCCTTCCTCTCCTAATGGAGTATATAATTCAGGTGCCCTCAAGGCACGCTTTCAGGAATTCTTTTGCCTGAGGTAATGGGAAGCTAAGGCTGCTTTAAGGCCTTGATTATCTATTGATGCACAAAGCTGGAAAAAAGTCATCTCCGCTGGATTATAGTAGATATTTCCATAAATTATCAATGAATTCTCTTCGAGGCAGGCACTAGGCATTGCCTGCTAAATTAATCTGAAGGGGTTTGGAGACAGATAGAAAGGCTATTTTTTTTTAAGGTGGAAAACAATCATGGAGAGGTGGTAAAAAACTGTCATTAGGTTAGAAGCTTTTCATTTTTAATCAATGATCAAGTAATATGTTTCTTTTCCTCGGTTACCTTTTGCATATTGAGAGTGGATTAGCCCATTGAAATTTTAAATGCTGTTGAGTTGGTTTCTTTTCTCATGTTTCTTTAATGAATTGTTATTTTATATGGTGAATTGCTTCTCTGAATAAAAAGCCTCTTTAAATACTGGACTTTCAAGGAATTTATTAGGCAAATCCAAGGGGACTCCTCATACAACACTTGGCTATGCAAATAACGAGTTTGGTGGGGTGGAAGGGACACTGATTTAGGGGTGCGGGTGTCTGGTCGGGCACAGGTGGGCCAGTCCCATCCCTGCTGCGTGACCTTGGGTAAGTCACCCACCAGAATACAAGCACTTTCCTCACTGGTACAGTGAGGGTTTTGGAACTATGGGTCTATATGATCTTTTCCACTGAGAACACAGCAATGATTCTGTGGGGCTTTAACAAAGTATATGGATTTTAAATATAATAAAAGTGTGCTTTTTAAAATTAATAAAAATCCCACTCTGAAAAGTTCTGCAAAAGTTTTGTATTTGCGGCACATGCTGTAATCATAGCAGAAATGTTGAAACTAGTCTGTTCCTCACCCAACAAGAGTTATTATACTTTACCTCAGTACAAGTTAAGGCAGTTTGGGGGCAATTTTCTTTGTTGGGGAAGGGAGATGGGGGGGGTGTCCTAAGGGAGTTGTTAAGAACAATTGATTAATGGCAACATAATTACTAAAGATTAGGCTGAAATAACTGAATCAAAGTAGAGAATTCTTTGCATATGTAGTGTATTTAGGTAACAGAAATAAGGAATATGAAATAAGAAATTCACAGAGTGATGTAACTGAATCTGAGGCTAGTTCCAATGTACAGTGACCAGGAAAATTGCCTTGCCAAAGGACCTCATTGTTTGGGCCTGTAGACTGCTCTCTAGTGACTTCCATAACCCAGGGAACGTGCCCTCAGGTGCATGTCTTGCCTCATCCAGAGCCTTACTGCTGTAGCAATTCTTCCTAGGCCAGACCAACCTATCCCTTTCTGAAAGTCGGTAGCTTCCCCCAAGAGCAGGGGCAGCAGGTAGGAAGGCACATTTGATAGAAGCTAAGCTCCTTTTTAGTGTAGTGAGTTCAGTCCACTCTCGTTCCCTTTGAACTTTTGTGTCCAAACCAAGGTAGTTAGTTTCCACTTATGCCTTATGACTTGTTTTGGACAGTGTGATTACATGGGCTGAAATTTCATTTTTTTTTTTTTGTCTTATTAAACATGACATTGTAAAAGGAATCCTGCATCTTTAATTTTATTTTGTCACAGAGCCAGAATATTTTCTAGAAGAAGCAACGTAAATGTTATGGCAAAAATCAATGGAAAAATAGGATCCGATATTCAGGAAACAGATGATTTGTCAACAGATGATTTTGCAATGAGAAAAAATTAAATCTAGAAGAAACTTCAGAAACTTCCTGGATTTTTAGGATAATACAATTCCCATTGACTATTAATTTAACATCACTTTATTTGACTTACATAGTAATCATTTCCTAATTAAAAAACTATTTCAGGAGTTTTGCCCTTCCTAAACTTGATGCTCTCTTTTTATGACAAGAAAAATTACATTCTATTTGAAGCATTCCTATGTCAAACTGCTTAGATGATGGATTACCTACCATTTCCATGGCCTACTTTAGTCTTAAGATAGATCACTTGTGGAAATAGTTGATATCTTGAATGCATCTTCTCACATGTTGACCACATCAACGACTATATGTGAGGTTTGAATACCCAGGCATTGGCCGCTGCCAATGGCGGCCACTATATTTAACTCCCCACTAGGAGTTATGCTTAGCATGTCTCAGCTCTACACATCTGAATAATTACCATGGCAACAAAGCTACTAAAGAGATTGGCTATTTCCCTTCATTCCCTTTGACTTTCCCCACTGTTCTTTGGAAGAAGTTCCTTAGACCTGACTACTTTTGAGTCTAGGCCTTGTTTTTCTCTTTGTTTTGGAAAAAAAAAAAAGTACCAAATAAACTATTAATCATTTATATTGCTCTTTTGGTTTTGTTTATATCCAAAGGCATTCTATTTGAATAAAGCATGTCAAGGTAGCATCAGTCAAAATTTGATTCACTATGTTTGCAGGTGATGGCTTGGACAACAGTGTAGCTTCCCCCAGCACAGGTGACGATGATGATCCAGATAAGGACAAAAAGCGTCACAAAAAGCGTGGCATCTTTCCCAAAGTAGCCACAAATATCATGAGGGCGTGGCTGTTCCAGCATCTAACAGTAAGTGGATTCTAAATGACATATGTAAACTAAATATGGACAATGAACCAGTTGTGATAGAAAAACAAGGGGGGGTGGAAATGATCCCTCTGCACTTGGAATATTTCATAAATCGCTGTGTTCCCCTAGTTTTTACAAAAGTGCTAGCACTTATTTCCTAGATACTTACCCCAAATGAGGAGTTTTATTTGCAGTTCACTACTGCAATTTTGTTAACTGTAAGTTACAAGGTTTAGGAGTTCATGTGACTTGTGATTTTAAGTATGTATGCTAATGATGTTGCTTTTCTCAGTGTGATTCTTAGGTACTTAGAACTGAGTCTTACTAAGAAGAAAGTTTAGACAAACCCCAAAGGGAAGGACTTAATTTCTTCTAATGCTTTAGTGGACCTTTATAGTGAATGGTCCGAAAAAGTTTAAATCTTGTTGCAATGGCAAGATGCTCACATAATTTGCTTTTAAGTGGTTTGAGTGCACTTGGTTGCCATTACAAAACATTCATCTGAGTCACGGCTGCACAGTGAAAGTGGTCCCTGTACTTAGAACTGTAAAGGAAAACAGCAATATAGAGTCAGCTCTTCCTGTGTAGTCCCCTGTGACTTTTCAAGCAGAGTAACAGTTTATATTGTCTGTGTGAGTATTGCTGTTTTCACTGCAGGAATTCTCCTGGAGATGTGAGAAACTGGAGATTTGGGGCTTTATGCCACCAAGGGATTTGTTTTGTTTGCTTATTGTTCTGAATGAATTTCATGTTCAAAATATTTACAATCATAATATTGTGGTGGATATTTTTGTAAGTGCATACTGATTTAATGACATCTAAGGAAGAAGACAAAATGAAAATTTATGGATAAAATAATATTTTAGAAATCAGCAAAATTGTTGGTGAGGGAGACATTCAATGTTAGGGACAAAGGTTGAATTTAAACAGGTCATAGCCTAGCCTAGCCTAAGATGAATCAATGTTAACCATCTTGGCTTTTTAAGAACAATTTCAGGAGCAAACTTTTTATGTGACTCTGTTTAGCATAGTTGGCTTTTCTTGAAGTTATTTATTTTTCTTAAGTATTAAAGTTAATTCTGCATTGTCACAAACGTATCCAGGTCTGTTGACCCTCACACTTGCCCCCTTTCAGGGCCATGTTCCTCGGTGATTTGTACCGTTACAGGGGGACACACAGGGGCTATCGAAGGCCATGCTGGTTGCTCCTCTGCATAGAGGCTGCGCCTCCGTTAACACTCCAGGGTATAAGTTAATCCAGAATTTCCAGTGTCTGTGCATAAAATAAAAACAGAGCAGCAGGAGTAACTAAAAAAATAGTTTCCTTCCTCTCTTCTAACCATTGCGATTCCAAATAGCAACTAGACTACACTGCCGGTTTTGGAATCAGCTGTGGAGGTTGGTTCATGCTGGTAGACAGTTGAAGATTTAGACTGTGGAACTGATTTTAACATCATATTAGGTCTACCTGAAACCCACTTCAAGTGCCATTACTTAGCTGACACTTGTTACATATGTGTGGATAGTTTGCGATCTATCTGCCTTGTACAAGTTTGCTACTGGGGATTATCAACCACTACGGAAGGGTGGGGGGAAGGGCGAGGGTCTGGAGGGCGTAGCGGGCATGGCATGAAGAATAAACAGCAGGAGGTACGAAGTGCCATTTGGTCAAAGGTGCTAATGCAACCATGCTGACATTTCATCACTGGAGCTGACCAGCTAACCAGATCTGAAGGATGAGTGGGGGGGAAGAGGGGACAAAACCAGGTGAACCCTGCAGTTACAACCAGTCTGTTTCCTATACTGACAGAAAAAAGTGAATGGATTTCGTGAGCTTCCAGCTCAATCTGCAAAGGAGCTTTGGCTTTACTTGAAGCTGAGGTGCCCCTGAATAAAATATAATCAAATATTGGTTCAGACAGAATCAGGAGAGAGAGGAGCAAGTTCTTTTATTCATCCACCAGACTTCCTGGTTTTCTAGGTCATATCCTTGTGAAGAACCTTGCAGAGAGCTATGTTATCTTCCTACAACGAAACAAAACAAAAAAGTCCTTAACAGCCAGCAAGATTTTACCTGCATTGCAATGCTTTTTGTGGTCCATAGGTTATTTGGGCAATGGGAATAGAAATTATTGATAAACTTCCTGATTTCTTGAGGAAATCAGTTTGGGGGTCTGTGCTGGCCTGTACCACTACCCTGAAAGGGGAAACCCACTTGTCCATGTCTCCCTGGCTTTCTATGAATGCTCACAGAAGTTGCCTTGTAGTTTCCATTGGACATTCCCACCCACGTTCCCCACTCCACTGCCATGTGCTCACACAAAAATATGGATGCTGGTAACCATCTCTAAAAAGCAAATGTCTCATAATATCATGTAAAAAGCAAAGGAGATATATTCAAATTTTCTCCCTTTTTCCTTTCCCCAATGAAAAAGATTCCCTTCCCTCTTCTCCAATTGCAAGAGCAGATAGATCTCCAGTTACCAGGAACACCTGTCTCTGTGTCTTGTTATACTTCTTGAAGAAATCCACAGACTGCTTAGGTAATGCTTATAGTCAGGAGCTGAAAATAATAAATTCTATGGAAATCCTCTAAAGAGTTTTGTTATTTGTCCAAATGTAAGTAAGAGTGACATCTACATACTAGTCTTGTTGCAACTTCTTTCAAGTTCTAAAAGTTCTTTAGGGATGCACACAAATGACAGTCATTTGGCAGACAGGACAAATTTTAAATGAACACATTCTTTAAAAAACAATTTTTTTTTTAATGTTTATTTATTTTTGAGAGAAAGACACAGACAGAGCACGAGCGGGGAAGGGGCAGAGAGAAAGGGAGACACAGAATCCGAAGCAAGCTCTGAGCTGTCGGCGCAGAGCCCAACACGGGGCTGGAACTCATGAACCACAAGATCAGGACCCAAAGTCAGAGACTTAACGAATTGAGCCACCCGGGTACCCCTAAATGATCACATTCTTGCTATATGATTAATGCAGCTTATCTAGAAAATCCTGCCTGAAATCTTGCAAGATATAAAAGAGCAATTGAAACTCTGGCTAATTAAAATAATGGCAATAACAATTTATTAGCAAACTGTACAAACTAATCTTTTCAATGCCAAAGGGCATATTATAAGACCTCACACACCTCTTTGGAAGCAAATTGCTACTCCCCCCCCCCTCTTTTTCAAATAAATGGATCAATCTTTTCATTGGGCTTATTCAGTTAACAACAACAACAGCAGCAGCAACTACCTGCCTTTGAAAGGGCTTTCTAACATTTGTGTGTTAGAGGAGTAGAAAAGGGCCTGAATAAAACAAAACAAAACAAAACAAAAACTTTCTGGATTTGCACCCCAGATGCATAAGAAAAATGTGCTGTTCTGTAGTTGTCCACAGGTAGATTTAATCAGCAGCACATTTTTCTACCTGAAGAGAGAACTAAAGCTTCATTCTTGGACTCACAGTCTCTAGCAAGCTAAACTGGAAATAACTTGTATATGATGAAAATAATCAAAAAGGAAACAGATTTTAAACTTTGGTGCTTATGGGTAAAAGGAAATTTCAGTGATGCAAATTTCTACCTTAGTTTCAAGTTGAACATTTGCCAGTTTTGATAACTAAAGAAGGTCTCTCCAAAGAAACTGTTGCCTGGAATTGAAAAGAATGACTGACATTATTTAGATAATAAGAGAGAATTAGAAAACAAAAGCATTTATTAATAGAAGTGCTTGCATTTGCCTGAAGACAAATTACTGCCAACAATTAAAAAATACTTAATATTTGAGTATGAGTCACTGTATATTGACAGTTCAGGGACATATGCTGCATCAAAGTTTCTTTTTCCCTTAAAGGCATTATTCCAACTACAACTATAACCTACTACGTCATAATGTTCCAACTGGATGTGTTTTGCCTATTGCTAGTTATTTCACTAGGTAGTGTTACAAAGATATGCCTAAGGGCCTAGTAGAAATGAGGAGAAGGAATAAACAAATACAATGTTTAAGGTAAAAATCAAGGTGTTTTTTGTTTTGTTTTGTTTTCCTACCCTAACATATTGCAGATTTAAATATAATCTAAATAGAAAAGTGGTTAATATGGTTCTTATTTAAAATATGCAGTGATATATTTTCCTGCATGGAGCTGCTGTGTATCCCAGGAATCTTGAAATTTAGGGAGAATGCAGGCTGTTAAAATAACACACCTGAAGGTTCAGGTGAAGCAACCGTACAAGGGGTGACATATCTGGCATTGACTAGCAGGGGAGGTGACCCTGAAGGTGAATTGATTTTCATTCACATTCTCTTGGATTCCTTTCACTGATCTTTGGGATCCCATTGGTACTTCATAGAGACACTTTGTTTTCTATGTCAGATACACATATTTTACACATGGTTTTGTTTCTTTTTGCGAACTTCTAGCCTGGAAAAACAATTTTTTTTTTTTTTGTCTGTAGCAAAATTATGTCTCGATTTCTGATTTTTAAGGCTTTCCTCTCAATGTGGATAAAGCCAAAGTGAGAGGTTGTAGAATCTTCCAGGTTGAGAATGGCGTTTCCATAGAAACACTATTAGATGAAAAGTGCCCTGCGGGTCTGCCACTCTAAGGATGGAGTAAATGGAATTGAATTGGGAATTGAATGCTCTAGAAGAGACAGATGTTGTTTCATTGGTTTTGCTTTTGGTAACAAGATCTGTTGGCGACATCTTAGTGTCATATCTCTGCTTGCAGTTTTGGAAGAATTGTTCTCTAAACATTAGGAATTATTATTATACTGAAAAAGTGCTTCTCATTGGTATCCAGACAACCCATTCTGTTGATCAAGGCGAGTGAAAGGTCAAAAGGCAGACAGAAGGATCTGTAGGCAGGCAGGTAGGTAGGTAGTAGATGAAATTTGCTCCTCTCTTTCCATTTCTGTTTTTCTGTCCCTCACCTCTATACACTGATAGATTTAAGAGTAATTATTTCCATTGTGCTTAACCAGCTAGCATGATTCAGCT